CCCCCCCCTGGTTACGCCACTACTCACACAGTAAAATCAATGGTATACAAATTGAAGAATTAGTTGTATGTTGATAGAATATAGTACGATTATTCTAACTAACGACTTCATATTTGAATAAATGGTGTAAAAGAAATTTTTTTCAGTTAGATAGCATACTGTGAGAGTTAGACATGGACGATACCAGTCGTGATACTTTGATTGTATTGTTTTAAAAAATAAAATCTTGAATTAAGTATTCCAGGTTTGAATAATTTCAAAGCATTGCGAAAATAATTTAAAAAAACAAGGACCTATTAATTAATAATAACAATTAACTGTTTTTCATGTAAACGAAAAGAACGAATGGAACTCATATCATACAAAATTCTGGAAATTTTAACATAGGTGATTCCGATATCGATTCTAAAGAAATTATTACTAGTTCCAGTCCGGATTCAAGTCCAAAGAAATTTGATTTTGCTCATCCCTAGTGAGAGTAGCTACGCTCGAACTGTAGGTATATGCCAACAATTTTAATTTTCATCTATATCTTACAAGTGTAAGTTTTATAATATTTCAATTTCTCTTTCTTCTATTCATTGTTATCTACTGTCTTGATAAGACAATATTTGCTGTAAGACAAAATTTCATCTACCTCGTGGATTGACTATTATACTTAGTTTTAAGTTTCATAAACAACAATATTTAATGGTATGTATGTATACATAAATTTCGCTCCATCTGTTGTTGTTGTTTTTCTTTCTAGGCAAATCTAACGAATGTTTTCGAAAAACTTTGGAAGAAAGTTTATCACATGGCAATCATACTTTCAAAAGAATCATCGTTGTCTTATCAAATAACTCTTGAATATCATACGATATTTCATATTCCTGATGAATTAAAAATTAAAGAACAAAAAATAATTGATACCATTAAAAAAAATCTTTCTCGTACACGACCAGTAATTGTTAGTACTGATCAATTAGAAGATTATATTAAACGTATTGAATTTGCGAATGAAATTATATTAAGTTTAGATTATTTAGTTAAAAAAACATTTGATACATATATTAGTTTTATTAATACATATTGGGAAACAAATGAAAAATTTGAAACAACTGAACAACTCAGAATATTATCTGAAAGATACGATATGTCAATGACAGAATGGCAATTTTTATTAAGTAAAATTGAACGATTTAATGACTTAGTGAAAGGTTATATTTAAAATTATTCAATCTTTATTTTTTTTATTTACATTGATATTCTTTATTATGAAAACATATAAATAAACATTTTAATTGTCAATATATTTACGATGTAATGGTCGTCGTTTTTCGATTCTATACAATGGAATAATGGGTTGATTTGCAAAATTATTAGTTATGTTAGAACTATGCATAAAGAAAAAAAAAATAAGAAATCTTTTCTTAAATAAGATTTACCTGGATGTTAAATCTTCGTATGATTTTGATAATGTTGGTTCAGATTGAGTAGGAAAAGTTTCGTTTTGTTGTTCATTATCAATCAAAGATGGAGAAGATATACTAGGTTTTAACGTTGATTCTGATTCAATTTGATCATCTATAAATTCTTTTAAGTATAAATAATCATCGATTAGAACAACAAACCTTCATTTGCTGTTTCAAGAACTGAAATAATAATATTTCGAAAACTATTGATTAACTTTTGTTCTTCATTCGGTTTTTCAGCTACTTGTATTGAAGTTCTTGTTGAACTAAAACTGAAGATATACATATATAATGAATATTTGTATCAGTAGGAATCATTCTCACTCAGTATCTATTGTTGAATGAGATGAATTATTTTCGTCTGTTGTTATTTGTTGTGCATGTAAATCAACAATATCTTCTTGATTATTTAAAATAGTCATCTGACTCAATTCTTGAAAAAGACGTTCCATTAATTGAAAACATGATGGTCGTTGTTGTGGATCATGATTCCATGCATCTTGTATCACTTGTTTATATTCTTCAGGTATATTTAATGGTATACTTGGTCGTTTACCTAATTTAACTTGAATTAATATAATACTTTCATCATCATATTCATCCCATGGAATTCTTTCTGTTCCTAATTCCCAAAAAACAATTCCGAGACTATAAATATCACTTTGTTTCGTATGTCGACTATGTGGAAGTAATAATTCAGGTGCTTTCCAATAAAACGAACCTACAGTTTGTGAAGTCGGAAATAATGATGATTGTAAAAATGTTTCACGTCGAATTTCCGCTAGCCCAAAATCACAAACTTTAACAAGATATTTTTGATTAGGTGATCCATTATATTTCAACAGAAAATTCATTGATTTTATATCACGATGAAGTATCGTTGGGCTTAAACTATGTAAATAATTTATTGATTTTGACATTTGCCATGCAAGAGAATATCGATCAGACCAATCAAATGATATTTCTTCTTCATGTTTTTTATGTAGAATATCATATAGAGACCCCAATGGCATATATTCAACAATAATTGCATAAAAGTTCGGTTCAATACATGCACCAAGAACAGTTAAAACATTTTCATAACGTATACGATACATTGTTGAAATTTCTCGAAGAAAATCATCTCGAACATTTGATAAATGATTAATACGTATAATTTTAACTGCAACTTGATCATGATGTGTTAACCATATTGCTTTATAAACATCAGCAAATCCCCCATGACCAAGAGATTTATCTTCAATATATAAATCTTTATAGGGTATATGTAAAAATTGTTGATGTTCTCTATGAAGATATTGTGATTGATAAGAATTCTGTTGCATTAATAAATTTTGTTCGAGTGAATAGCGAAATGATTGAAAACGTTTATCAATCATTTTATCAATAAATTTATATTGTTCACATTGTTTTTCTAACATTTTTTGTGAAATTTCATCTAATTTCTTATTTAATTCTTTTAAATCTTCACGTTGATCTTCTTGATCTTGTTTTTGATTGAATAATTGTTGAATATTTAAACCAAGTGCTAAATCTTGTCCGAGTTGTGATAATCGTTGATTTAATTCTTGAAATTTTTCTTCACTTTTTTTATATTCATAAATTTCTTCATACCATTCATTTGATGATTTTAATTTTTCTATATATACATTACAATCATCGATACATTGAAGGAGTTTATCAAGAATCGAACGTGTTTCATTGCGTAATATTGATGATGATGCATATTCTAAACGTTCGAGAGGATCAATTAATTGATCAATACGTTCACAAAGACGTTCACATTGGATTTTATTAGCATAAACTTTCGAAACATTCTGACGAATTTTATTTCGTAGAGAAATTATTCGATCTATAGATGATGATGCTGAAGTCATGTTGAAACACGTGTAAAGGTAAAGTAAAAGAATGAGAGTATGACTTTTTTTTATTTTACTTACTTTCTTTTTTTTATTTTATAACCTTGAAACGATAGATGATACTTATGGCTGTATATTTATGTTGACAAAATAATTTCCTATCAAGAAATATTGCCTGAAGTTGTATGTATAAACGTTTTTTTTTTACTGGTATATTAATCACAGCAAGGTTGTTTTTAAAAGAACTCTGCGGGTATGTTTTAGTTTTTATTCTAGTATGTAATTAATTCGTATCAAATATTATTTTGTATTCATATGTATTTTTGATAATATAAGTTTTATTTGAAGAGCATAATATTTATTTATTTATTTGTATCAAAATAGCTCTAACTTAAATATTTGAAATATTTTTCAATTAAAAATTATATATATATATCGTTATTTTGTTGTATAAAGTTAAATAATGACCTAATGCCAATTTTACTTTAAATATGGAGGAAGATGAAAATAATATTAGCAATAAAAAAACGGAACGTTCGTATGCACAGAATACTATAACGGTTCATCTATCTTTGTATAGCAAGGCGTTCAACAAATATTTTTAATGCATGTATGACAAGTCAAAAAGAGCAAAGCCCAGAATCAGAAGCTCCAAAAAGTATGCATTATTATAAAATATTTTAAATAAACTTATTAGTTTAATTGTCTTGTCATAGTGCATATAGATAAAAGAGTTCAAAATTTATTTTGATGTGCAATGATAGAGAGATCTACACTGCAATTTTTATAAGTTTTACTTTTCATAAAATTAACTTTAATGAATCTAAAGCATTTTCAAACTTTATAATTCATTCATTCAATATCGAACTTTTAGAAAATGGTTGACTTCCTGATGAAAGTCAAAACTAATATTGATTAACTCTCATTCACATCTAAATATAATCATATTCGCATGCAGATCGCGGTAGTCTATGGTCAAGTGAATCTAGTTTCGATAAACGTTACTTGTGTATAAGTTAATTCAATAGAACTAATTTTCAATAAACCATGAAGGTTTTTTTTATGCTCAATCAAACTTTGATAATAAATAAAAATACCCGAAACAAAAATTATTATGTAAAAATTGTAGTGAATATAATTGATAACATATCTTTTCGTGAATCACTATGAAAAAAACGTTTCTTTTCACGATCAAATAAGTCGATCAGTGCTTAAGTGTAACAAAATACTATGCATGATTGATCAAAAGTAACTAAATAAGATACGTATGCGTCATTTTCTACTTACAAACATTAATGAAAAGGTAACGTTTGATCTTCGTCTGTGTATTTTATTCGTACAATATAAAAATCAAATATATTTGTTTAGTCATGAGAATGATAATTCATTTCCAGCGAAATAATGTTCGTAATATTTATCTTATAAATTAATTTCATTTTTTTTGTTATATTATTCGTAAAATGCACAATATAGAGCAGCGACAATATGCCTCTATTATTCAACACGAATCATTTGTGCATCTAGATTATTCTCAGCAAGTAAAGTATTATATATATAACGTGCAAACAAAACTGATTTAATTTATCTAATATATGAACAAATGACAGCCGAAATAACTATTTCTATTTCTATTCAACCATGAACGACAGAAAGTAAATATTTCTTTAAAAATTTTAAATATTTAAATTTATTATTTTAGACTGATCAATGCGTTTAATTATTTTTGATCAGGAATTCATCACAAAAGAAAAGCAAGTAAAACTAATTGTTTGTAAAAAAAAAAGAAACAAATTCGTAATCATATATTTATATATAGTTCATAGGTTTTTTTGGATACGGAAACGGAATTTTTCTCAAGTTATATTCGTGCTGAAGATTGTTACTTATACATTGACATCAATAGCATTTGGAATGTTTACAACCATCATGTCAGATTATAAAAACACTTTTTAACAACGATTTCTTTGTTTTAATGAAGTCAAGTGAATGGTACGAAAAATTTTATCAATCAAACTTTTGGAAAACTTCTCCCGAGAAATTCTTGAATCTATTCAAATACATAATAAAACATCTTTTTTTTTAATTTATTTATTTATATTAATCAGCATTAGTACATAAATCATCAATATTTCTTTTTATAATCGGCTTTTATATTAATTGTGTAACAAAACAAGAACAAATCAACGAAAAAATGGGATATTAATTTAATACTGAAAACAATGATCAATAGTTATTTATCACCCACGTAAATCTCTCAAAGTATTCATAACTTTTAGCAGATCATAAATAACATACGGACACTTTTTTATGAGACGTGTATTATAAATAAAAAAAATATATGTATATTTTCACATTATTATTATACCATAGATTTTTATACGATTAAATTAGTTTGACCCAATCGATCTAAGGTGTTAATGATCATCATGTACATTAAAATTTGTTTGAAGATATATCTCTATTATCCTATCTATTGGCAATAAGTTCAATGTCTAAAATGTGTTATTTACGCAGATGTTCACTACCTTTGATAATACATTATAAAACGAAAAAAAAAAAATGATTATTTTATCATTGATCATACTCATCATTTTATATATATATCAATATCTATACTCTCATTGTCACCAAATTTTGTCTGAGTGAAAAAAAGCATCTCTTAAGAAGTCGATGTCTACCTTTTTGTTGTTCAATTAAGATACTTTATGTCTTAGTTTGTTTATGTTCATCAGTATTTATCCGTCTGAGATATATTTCTTAACTCATCATTTTGACGCCTTTAAGTCGAATAAAATTTTCTTAAGGCATTTTGATTGCATGTTAAATATCATAAATACCTTTCTTATTCTATATAAAGTCACTAGAGACATGAAATATAATGATGATCATCATCATGAGTAATGCCGAAATGAATCAACATTTTATTGTGAGATTTAACAAGTCGATATGAAAAAATTCTTTTATCTTCTTAAATGAACAAAAATTTCGGTGACATGAATGATGAAATTGAATATATATGCATGATTATTTATTCGTTTTGTTTTCCGGTGAACACACGTGTCATTTGTTTGTCAACGAAGACTAACTATATTAAAGATCAAAAAAAAATCATACTTGACTTATACACGAATGAATGGAAAATTTGTTGTCATCGATAACTAAAGTGAATCACTAGGATATTCTATACAATAATACTTAACATTCAAAATCTCTTCAAAGCGTTCTTTTTTTGACAAAACAAATTCGATGAGCGAAACTAAGATGTATATCGAAAGGAATTTAATGTATTGAAACAAATGAAAAGGACAATTAAACAATAGGTAAAAAAAACATCTGTTGTCCATCTGTTCCCGTATTTAATGATAATGATATGTGAAACGAGAGAAAAAAAAGTAATCGATTGAATATTTCCGTTTTCTTTTAAGTTTTTAAATTTCGTGTTACATCCTTTATTTTTTTTTTCAAATATGTTAAATTTTATTTACATTTATCACTGTTTTTACAACCGGGACGAACAAAAAAAGAGAAGAAAATTTATACAAGTGAAGCTTGAATGTCTATTTGTTTTAATTTTAAATTAATATCTTTTTTTTCAAGAATTTTTTCATTTGATTCTTTAAATATATTTGTTGATGCATTATTTTCCACTGTCCAAATTTTTTCAAAATTGATTTCTTGAATTTGTCTTAATTGTTTACGTTTTTGATTGGAATATTTATAAAATATACATGATAGTATGATTAATATTGATATAAATAATACGATAAATAATAATAAGATAATTAATTCTATTGAGAAAATTTTTCCATCTTTTTTTTGTATAAGTCGAATATCAATTTCACAATATTGTCCAATAAATTCTTTTGTACAAACACATTTCTTATTTTCACATCGACCATTATTACGACATATTGGACATTTTAATTCAATTTCACATTGTTTACCTTCGTAATTTGGTGGACATATACATTTTCCTAATGAACTTAAACCACCATTTAAACAAATACGTTCTTCACATAATAAACCTTGAAAACCTAATGGACATTGACATTTTGATTTAATAGATTTTCCACCATTTTTACAATCTAATTTTTCATTTGAAATTTTAATTAATTGTTTTAATGGTACTTCACAATTATCTCCTGTCCATCCGCGATGACAAATACATTGATCGGGTTGATTTAAACAATGTCCATGTTGACAACCTTTACGACAAATAGCTAAAAGAAAGATATATATGTCATCTGGATTTAATTCACAATAGAGAAAACTGATCCTTACCTTTATTACAATCAATTCCAGTCCATCCTTGTTGACATATAATATCACCTGTTTGAGGATCACATCGTGAATGTAATGAGAGTGGAGAACAAAAACGTGAACATTGTGAACCATAGAAATTTGTTGAACATGATACTCGATAACGAAATGAAAATTCATGAGAAGTTAATGAAGAATCAATTGTTTGAGAATGTTGCCATGAAGAAGAATTTGGATAAATTGATGAGCGTATTGTTGTTGACATGATTAATTCACGTGCACTACCTGGATATGGTTGACCATCATACGTTTTATCATTAAATATATCAATATGAAGAACAAAATCTCCCTAAAAAAAATTATTTTTCATATTCTATAGAATAATAATAATTCGAATATTTACCATCCAACTAAATTTAAATGGTAAAACAATAAGATTAGCATATTGTGGTAAACGATTAAAATCAATATTATTTCCGCCAAGTATTGGTGTTTCATCAAAACTATATGTACATTCTTGATTATTAACTAATGATGGACGATTGATATTATCCAAATTTGGATTTGAATTACGTAAACAAAAACGAATAAATGTTTTACATGGTGAAATACATGAAAAAAATCGATCAGGTCCATTACAACATGTACCATTTATATTTAAACCTTTACGATTAATTAATCGTTCTAATTCAATTTCAAATTTACCAGTACTTGTACATAACTATAAAGAAGAATAGAAATTTTATATTTAAATAATA